GGAGCATGGGGGAGTGGAGGAAAGTTACCAGCAACAGCTTCACAGGATGTTCTGATGTGAGGGCCCTGTACCTTGGCCCCTGGTGACAGATGGGGAAGCACAGGACTCTTGAGTTTGATATTAACAAGTCCATACTGCAACATGAGAAAAGGAGCCCGTTAGGAAAGGAATGGTTTATGTCAGAATACCGATAAAAGATGCAAGTGTGGGGACCTAAGGAATCATACTTACAAGATAGATGCTTAGTGTCTTCTGGTTACCAGATACAGGCTTGCTGAGACCTCATGTAGAGTGTCACCGCTTCAGTGTTGGTACCAACAACAGCAATAACAAAGATCAGCTTTTTGACCATCTGTTGAGTGCTGTGCCTTTCTGTTAAATGCTTCTCAGGCACCACCTAATTTAACAGTGACAACCTTGTCCTGGTAAGGAACTGTTCTCTTTGTTTGCTTTGTTTGTTTTTCTTTTCTTTTTTTTTTTTTTTTTTTTTTGGTTTTTCGAGACAGGGTTTCTCTGTGTAGCTTTGCGCCTTTCCTGGAACTCACTTGGTAGCCCAGGCTGGCCTCGAACTCACAGAGATCCACCTGGCTCTGCCTCCCGAGTGCTGGGATTAAAGGCGTGCGCCACCACCGCCCAGCGCTTTGTTTGTTTTTCACTTGACACATTAAGCAATCAAAACTTCGGTCTAGAAGTTCACTTGCAAAATCTCAGAGCCAGCATTTGAACCCAGAGCTAAGTGACCACCCAACTAAGATTCTTTTATTGGTCCCCACTTCAACAACTTCCTAGATTTGATCGTTTATGTTCCTTCAGTAAAGCGTAGGCTGATGCCTAGATCTCTTGTGTATGCTCCAGGCTCTACTATGTCCGACCGCTTTTCCTCCTACCAACCAGAAGTTATCTTTACTAAGTGGTGCACCCTGGCAGGGTGTTCTTTATTACCATTGTCATTTAATAAAATGTTTATGTCCCAAAGCATTCATGTCTTGAGGAAATGTGAGAAGCAGCGATGGGAGAGTGTTTTAGGAAGATTGAGACTAGAGGTCCACAAAATAAGGTATGAGAAGAACATGTAGAAGATAGCAACAAAAATCTAGAGGAACTTTACACCTTTCTTCCCTTGCAGAAGTAATTTTCCTTCTTTCTAAAGACACTGAAATAACTTTTAGTGATTATATAATCTGGCTGTGGCTTTTGTAAGAAAGCAAGCATGCAACACCAGTCAGCAGGCCCCGAAGCCCAGGGGAAGACTTGTCACTGCACTGTACTGAACACACTTAAGACTTAGAGAAGATATATTAGTTGGATTTTCAGTGATCCCTATTTTATAATCCCCCAGCCACTGCTGTTCCTGCTTCCTTGTCCTTCCAAAGGGGCCTCTTCCTCCTTCTTTTTTTTTTTTTGTGTGTGTGTTTGCTCAGGATGAACTTACGATGAGGAAAACAAAGACAGGAACTTTGGATCCCAGCAGACCCATGTGCAGGACTTCAAAATGAATTGAATGATAATCAAAGCTGTGGATGGTCGATCTCAACACAGCAGGATGATACAAAAAACTTTACATTTGAGGAAATGTTAAAGAAGTAATGTTTTTTTCTTGCTGTTTGCCCCTCTCTATCCCCCTACAGAGTTTTTGTTTCTGTGGATTGGTAACAGCATAGCATAAAAGAAAGAGTGAAGGTTTAAGGGATCTGTTAGATAATAGTTTCAACAACTTAACTAATGGCCCTTGGGTGAAGTCTCTGAGTCTATGTCCCCAAATTAAGATGGTATATTCAGACCCATGTCATCTAGCTGTTGAGTGCATATTGTTGGACAAACATGAAATTTCTGAAGTAGGGTTCTTTGCTCCCTAACCTTTTAATGGGCCCATTAAAAAGAACAAGGTATTAATGAACAAGGTAAACAGAATATAGAAAGGGATGCTCACTTTTTGTCAGTTTTTACCCAGAGAACTGTTCTTGCCACATTTAAAATAGATTACACAGTGAGATCAAGAATGCCAAGGATCCAGTTGTTTTAAAGATTGTAAATTTGATCAGAGGAAGGAAGCTGGCTACCAGGGAGATAGGTGGTGGCAGGGAGTTTTTGTGGAGCTTTTTTTTGTGTGTGTGGAGGTGGCGGGGCGGGGGGGGGGTGCGTAATTTGGCAGGGAGTGGCATTGTATAACATTGTCCATCTTTCTCTACAAATAGCAGATTTGACCTCACTTTGAGGTTTACAACATGTTGCTAACCTTTTGTTCCATATCATTTATTTTATTTGCAGGGTAACCGTAAAAATAATTAAGATTTTCAATAAAGATAAAGGAGTCAGCAGAGTGTATTATTCTTCATCTACTAAACATAGCTTTCTTAGTCCAGATGTTTATGGTATTCTGTAGCAGCTGCATCCTTTATTCAAAGCTCCTGACAGTAGGAATTGCAAGTGGTTGGTGAGATAGAATGATTCCAGAGTTTTGCAAGACCCACACTCTTCGGGGCTTAAAACAAATCAGACTCAAGGCAGTAAAGGGAACTCAAGACAATGAAAGACATAGTTTGTCTTCAGGATGCTGATAGGCTAATTGGAAAGAGAAGGTGCTGGTAAATGGAAAGACAAAAGGAGTTGTAATTTCAGCAGAGTTGGAAGTCATTTGGATTTATGGAAGAAAGGAAGTTGGGAGGATCAAAAATAAAAGAATCTGAAATTCTTAACAACATATATTTGCAGAGGTCATTATGATAGAGGGTATAATAGACAAGGGAGAAAGAACTATTCTTAGAAGTAAGAATTGCTTACACTTTTGATTCTGATTCTGAAGGAATGCTAACTAAACCAGTAGCAACCTAAAACAAACAAGCTACATTGTTGTGTTCCATTGGTAAGGTCAAAGGTACTTGGAATGATACTTAAAGTTGACCCAAGAATGTCTCTTCTTGTGACATTGTAACATGACACTGTAATCTATAAAGTTCATGCTCAATGAACATGAATTTGAATTAAAAAGAAAAGGATCTCAAAAGAAGACTTGTAATAGTTTCAGCTTAGGATTTTGCACTGGCCATTCATATAGTTGTCCTGAGCCTCGTCTAGCTGTATGTAGCCTGGGTGCGTGGGCACAGGTTAGATATACCTCTTGAGACTAGTGTCTAAAGAATTCTAGATTTCTTGGCACTAAACTGCCATCTATATTAAAAATGAATGAGTCACTGATACCAACCTCTTTCCCTTCCAGCCAAGATGTCTTTAATTGTACTTGAATAAGAAAGATGGGGAGCAGACCCAACTTTCTCGTGGCCAGTTTGAAAATCACTCTTCTACATGAAAGATCCTAACGTTATTTCTTTAGACAAATGCTGTGAGGTTGTGGTCTCTGTGATCACAGTCCCTGTGTGAGGAAAAAGAGTCCAGAAGGTGTTGAGGCAGTGTGTTGTTGTCAGTGGCCCACAGTTTCTTGGGCATTGTCTACTTCTAGGCTCCATAGCTAGAGAAATGCTGAGGCACAAGGAAATCAAAGCACAGCCATGAAGTTTAGAGAGAAAAATCTGTACTGTTGACAAAATGGTTTTATTTGGAAAAGAGAAGTCTGAAGGCAATTGAATGCTGGCCCTCGAGACTAGGAAGGATCACTTGGAGGCAAATGCCCAGATTTCCCCAGATTTTCCTTCATTGCCAAGCACAGGAAAAGGGTGCTGCCTGTCTCCCACAGTGGCAGCCTGAGTACAGCATAGAGGAAAAGCAGCCCTTGGAGCCCAGGGTGCCTGATCCAAGGAATCCATTGCCCCATTGTTTGTGAAGGCTGGCTGGAGGGCGGCAATAGGAATTCGTATCTGCACTCTGTGTGTTGAAAAAGCTCCTTCCTGAAGGAGCAGGGATGAATTAAATGAACTTGGTCTTTTTAACCCACAGAATCTGTGATTTATCCTTAAATTACAGAAGGTAAAGATGTCAGGCAATTATTTTGAATTATAGCCTCATACCCTGGTGCTGCCAAGAGGAGTTACTTTCCAATCCTGTTGAGGAAGTCAGTGACAAAGACACACATTTATTTCAGAGGTCATGAACTCAAATACCTACAGGGTCCTGCTGGCTTAGAAAGGAGCCAGCTAACACAGAACAGCAGTTAGTGAAGTTTTGTGAACTAGAAAGTGAAGGGCCTATCTAAGATGGCCACCAAGCAGACATGGCCTCATAATGTGCACAGATCTTTGGCTCTCCGAGAAAAAGCTGGAAATCTAAAAACGTAGGTGATTTATTTTTTTCAGACTGACAAGATAGTTTTATATCTAGATAATGCAGCACATGTATGGTTAGAAACCCTGAGTTTGTCCTTCACTGGTTCAGGCCCCTAATTAACAATCCAAACACAACTGATTGAAGTCTGGGGTGAGGGCAGTTAAGCTGCTGTGGTTTTGAAAGGCTTCTAAAGCTTTGCCGCCTCTGTGGACCTTTGACCTCTGACTCCTTCCTCCTGGCTCCAGATAGGAGATGGCTCAGGAAGTAGGGATTTAAAGACACCGCCTGTTTCCTGAGCCGTTGAGATGGCTCAGTAGGGAAAGGTGTGTGCCACCAAGCCTGATGACCTGAGGTCAATCCCTGGAACCCACATGGTGGAAGGAGAGAACTGACTCCCCCAGATGCTCTCGGACCTCTGCATATGTGCTGTGGCATTTATATGCCCTCACATGTACACACACATAAATAGGTGTAATAAAGAAATTATTTGTTTTCTTTAGCAAGATGATTTTATTCAGTAAAACTGTCAAATCCTCCGAGTGATGAGCCGTTCTGGCTGCCGCTGCTGTTCACTGTTAAATGCACATGTCTCTGTGGTCTGCACTTAGTAATCTGGATCTCTGCACTAACATTTGTGTATAACATTGGGTGCATGAGGCATGCTTCATTTAAACATTAACACTTAACGTTTGGTGACATGCTTTTCTCTTATAAAAATAGTTTTAATAACAACTCTCTGTCGGATGAGGACAGTTGTATTTCTGAAATCCCCTTCCTTTCAGACTGGAGAATATGCCACTGATGAAGAAGAGGATGAAGTTGGGCCCATTCTTCCTGGTGGTGACATGGCCATTGAAGTCTTTGAGCTCCCTGAGAATGAGGACATGTTTTCCCCATCTGATCTGGACACAAGCAAGCTCAGTCATAAGTTCAAAGAGGTGAGCACTGGCCTGCACAACCTTTGCCTTCCTGCTCCTTTCATTGTTCAATCTGTTTTTATTTGTGCAATGAACCAGGAATCATCTGTTTTCTGATTAAATCGTTTCAGTAACATTATCTGAGTCTTCCATTTGAAAGCACAGTTTTAGCAGATTGCATTCTACTGTCACCAATTTTAACGTTTGTCACTTGTCACAGTAGCAGTTTATAACTTTGGGCATCATTTCAGGATACGTGAAAGTTACATGTATATTTTTTACTTTTACAGATGCTCTGCTACCTGGTCATGACCTCTTTCCTCTAGGGCAGTTATTTTTCTAAAAAGCTGTTTTTCTTTGTTTTCCTGAAGTAGACAGATTTCTAATAAGAATAACGTGCCCAAAGGGTTCCATTGAAGAGTTCAATGAGCAGACTTTGAACAGTTAATAGAACCACCAAGGAATGTGACAGCAGGAAGCCATCACCCTCCTCCGGCCTAAAGAAGCCATTCGATACCCACAGCTTTGCAAGATGCAATCCTGCTGAAAATTGCATCTAGGGCAAGGGTGATGGATGCCCTATCCCTCTCATGCTGTCCTCCTGCTGAATCCCAAGTCACACCCGGGCAAGGGAGTCTAGGCTAGGCTGGGCTTGGAACTGAAGAGCTCAGTCTTCTGAAGCACCGGATAAACCCTTAGTGTGCATGTAGAGAACCAGATAGATTTTTCTCCTCCAACTCTGATGTTACAGGATTCTCTTAAGTGCTTAAGTAAAAATACCTGTTTTACTGCTTTGGCAAAGCCACAAGCTGACATTATTTTATCCAGTCTTACTTTGAGCCAACTATATGTTTTCTTACTAGATTCTGTGATCATGATTCTTTCACAGACTGTGCCCTCTGTCTGCCCAGTTCTTGTCAGTTAGGAGTTGAGTACCCACTGAATAATTGGCGTCAGGAATGTACAGAGAATTCATTGTGCAGTGCACCTGACTTGATTTCTTCAAGTAATTGACAACTTGGTTAGCATGTTTATTAAGGATTGTTTCCCTCTGGTCAGAAGGCTTCGTCATTTTCTTCAGACATTAGCACCAATGACTGATAGAGTAAAGAAGAACTGTCTTAACTTTCCTTCTCTTTTAATCTTTTCAAAAAACAATTTCATGCATGTCCACCATGTACCTTGATCATAGCCACCCCAGCTCATCCCTCCTATTATCCTCAGACACCACCTAGTAGTATAACAGTGTCCTACCTTCATGTCATCCCCCTTGGGGTCTAGGGAAACTCAGAGAGGCCAGTTAGTGCTGTCTGCCCCAGTGTTGACTGACCTTGTTTTGATCTTGAGCAGGTAACCATAGCTGCAGAGGGTTCATGAGTACAATGACCATGTCATCTCCAGGTGACAGCGTCTTACAACATTCCTCTGGCTCTTACATTCTTTCCACTCCTTATTTCTCAATGTTCCCTGAGCCTTGTATGTGAGGGGGGTATAGACGCTTCATTTAGGGCTGAGCATTCACAATGTTTTTCTTCTCTTTTTTCTTGTACTAGGGAATCAAACCTAGGGCCACAGAGTATCAGTCACGTGCTCTACCACTGAGCTGTGTATCTTTAGCCCAACTTTTCTCTTTTTTAAAAGTTACTTTAGTCTCAGCTGATTCGAGAGAACATTTGGCTTAAGTTATTTTTATTGTAATCAAATTAGTAAGTTGATTTGTGGGGAAATGACATCTTTCTCACACTACTAATCTTTTAATCAAAGTTTATAGCTATATGTACTTAAAGTGTTTTCTCTGACCCCTCAAAAAGTTGTATATATCCTTTATTGTTACATAAATGCCCAGCTATAAGCAATGAAAGACATGACTGGGATAACTAAAAGCTGTTACAAAGATTATGTTAGCCTGGGTGTGAGTTAGAGAATCTTCTTCATTTTTCAAACATGATGTGACTGAAGTAGCTTACTGAAGACAGGAATTTCTGGTCCTGAAATTCTGTCATTATTGAGTTTTGTGAATTTTTTGGAGAAAGTTTTTATTCATTTGAAATTTTTTCCTAATAAATTTTATTCTGTGATAATTTCATACGTGTATATAGTGATTCTGGTCACTTCTCCCACCCCTCACTCTGGTTTTCCAAAAACTCTCCCAGTCTCTTATTCCTTACAAATATCTTTCCTATACTCAGTAGTTTTGTTTTGTTTTGTTTTGTATCCTATGGGATTTAACTAGGGCCCTGTGACTCTGGTTTAGAACTAGCCATCAGCGCCTGGCGTGCTCACCAGCGTCTCTATAGCACGGTGCTCCGGATCCCACTCTCCCAGAATCTGCTGGTTGCCGGTAGATCAGCATTAAGCAGTAGGGCTGGTGAGCTCCTCCCCTTCCATAGCTGACTGTGCTGGTCTATCAGTTTCAGAAGGTCTATGTTGAAGTCACTAGCTGCCCTTTTATCCATCCCTATAATTCCGTCACTTCTGGTTTTATATATTTTATTTTTCTCATTAGCTGCACTTACAGTCAGGATTGTTATAGCATCTTGATTTCTTGTGATATTATTATTATTATTATTATTCTGTTCTCACATGATACATGGGCCCCACTTCTGTTTTGGTTAATAGGAAAACTTGTCACTGGGTTTCTTTTGCCTTGCATTTCCTTCATAGCACCTGAATTTCTGTTTATTTTTATCCATTCCATAAACTTTTATTCAAATGTGTTTCCTTTCAGTAGCCTATTTCTGAACTGTACTCTTAAATACATTATTATGAGAGTCTCTATATCACTTAATTAGTGAGTGTAGTCCATTTATGTGTACTTTAATCACCTTACTATTAGAAATTTTGCCCTCTTGGCTTAATATGTTATATTTTCTATATTTTCTTGTTTCTTTTTTATTTTTCTACCTGTCATCAGAAATATCAAATTTTCATCTGTTGCCTAAAAGTTAATTTTTTATTTTATTTTCGCAATAGTTTGACTTAATTTTAAGTTGTTTTCCCTCTCAGTATAATACAGGGAGCAGGTCAGCATCTGTGCTTTTAATCGTTAGCACAATGATGCCTACAGCACGTGACCTGGGATCTTTTCTGTTGCCACCCATCTTTTGTGTTTCAGGAGTCTTCGCTAGGTATGCCTGTTAGAGTGGGACTCTTTCCAGCTCCCCTCAACCCTGTACTGTGATGAGACCTCAGAGCTACTGCAGGGCCATTTACCCCCACTCCATGGCTCCCTTCCTACCGCAGCGCCAAAGGGTCCTGTCACACGGCCCCAAAGTTAAATTAACAGTCAGGAGGTCACAGCTTCAGGGTATGGAGCAGGCTGGGCTGACTTACCACCAGGTGCACACCTAGCAGGGTTATGTGGGAAAGGTGAGCTCAATTAAATACTGTCTCCTTCCTCGTTGCTAGCATTCCCCAGCTTCAGGCCATCACCTTTGCAACATCAGAGCCCCCATGTGCTCAGTTTTTAAGAATTCCTTCACAAGCTTCTTTCCCTCCCTCCCTCCCTCCCTCCCTCCCTC